CTTGTCTATGACCTGCTGTCTTCGGAGCTTATGAGAAAGCCTAGCTGAAATAATTGTCCGTGAGTAACCGCATGGCGTTACTCCTCATGGAAAGCTAGTTCCTGCTGCCTCCAGCCATTTGGTGAGACTCCGTCCTTCCACCTCATCCATCTTCTTACGCTCCTTGCTCCACTGGACACATTTCCATCCAGGAAACTCAGGGCCCCTAAAAAACTTCATTTCATGGTGTTTCATTTTTTTGCCAGGTGGGATGTTTTCTGTTCTGAGCTCCTACTACTCTCTAGTATGACAGCCTTCATTTTCCCTTACTCAGGTATCTTTTCAGGCTGCGCTAGACCTCGGCGCTATTTATTTATACAGTTACTTTGGCTTAAAATCTCAACTCCTGCGTGGGTTGCCTTTCCTGATTCCCCAGTCAGAGTTCTCTGCTGGTACCTCCAGGGGCCTCGCACGTCTTGCAGGAGCTGGGTTTTAGTGTTTTCTCCTGGAGGCTCCTTGTGCAGTGGCTTTTGACACCACAGCAAATACCACAGAAAATGACTGTCCTCTAACACTGAGTGAGGAAAACAATCCAGCCCCCAAAGCATCTCTGCTTTGCTGTGCTCTGCTTAACCTGCTTGTTTGCCTGCCCGCCCCCCCTGACTGGAACGATTCCCCCCCTCCGGAGTGTCATGGAGTAGGGAGCTCCCAAGCCCTGAAGCATGCCAGCTATGGCTGTACTTGTGTGCTGGATGCTTCCCTAATTTGGGCTGGCCAGTCTGGCTGGGAGGACACTGCAGGCATCTCATTCCATCTCTGTGCCCCCCAGGTATGTGACTCCCCTCATTGCTCTGCCCCATGGCTTAGAGGGTGGGTCCCAGTGATGATCCTCAGGTGGTGAACACAAAATCGGGTGAAGCTGGGTAACAGGGGAGTAGTCCAGGAAAGCCTCTACTTCTGGCATCTCCTTGGATAATTTTCAGGGGCATGTGAGGCTCCCCAGGTAACAAGCTGGGAGTCCCACACTCTGTCCTTCTCCCTCCCACTTTCTTTTGGTGTATTCTGCACTCTAGTTCTTGTTTAATTGCTGTTGTAGACACTGTCTGTGGCTGTACAGTCCTTCTTTGCCCAGGCTTTGTGGGATATGGGTTCTCACTGCAGTGTGTGTATAGGACTGGTCAGGAGCAGAGGCGGTTAATGCTGATGTGGATTTGGCAGAGGATTTTCAGTGGCTCATCGATGCCAGCAGCCTTTTGCTAATGTTCTTCATTGGGTCTGACTGCAAGTATTTCATATGCAGTTGGATGAAGTTCACCGTCTTGCAGTAGAAAGGCAGACCTGATGATCTAATGGTCCCCCTGGCCTTCTGTGAGGATGCTGTAAATGACCTGAATGGAGTCAGCGTATCTGGCAGGACAGAGTGCTACATGAAGTTGAAAGATGATGCATAGATTGCTGTGAAAATAAATGATGAAAAAAATGGTTCTACTGAATGCTTCAGAAACAGTATGTGATCATCGCTGAGGCTGTGCACATGCTGAAACTGTGTGAGGCTGTCATTTTGCTACTGCTTTCTTGTTTTCCCCCCCCCTAGTGCTTGTTACTGTGGCTTGGCTCTGCTTGCAGATAATGCTGTGAGATCTTGCACGCTTTTCTCACCCTGCGTACCAGTTTGCAGGGCGGGGGCCTGATCCTGACGGTAGCCTCTGGTAGTTGCAGCAAAGTGGGTGACGAAGGACTGGCTTGCTGCAGCTCCTTTGCCCAAGTTGCAGGTTGTGCCAGTGCATACAGTCAGGGCCACGAATGGTACCTCTGGATGCAGGGAGGCTTCGTGGCACTGGCTTCAGCTCTGTGAGGAGTATCAGGGAGATGTCTGTCCCCAGAAAAGCAGCAGGCCAAGGAAGTAGTGCCTGACACCTCCTGTGCACCAAGCTCTCACAACGTGCCAGGGACTATACCTGGGCACGGATGGTGCATGCTAGCTGCGGAGTGAGGAGCGAGCTTGGTTTGCAGGTGCTTACTGCTCCCTGTGCTGCTTGGAGACCTCAGGGCATACCTGACACTTGGGATGGGGACTGAGATGTGGATCCTGTGCCTCACTCTGCATTTTGCCAGAAAGGCAGACCCGAAGGTCCATGTCTGCACTAGTGAGCTACACCTTAGGGCTTTCTCTGGCTCTATGGCTAGTCGGCTGTCTGGGCTATCCAACCCACTTTCTGTCCAAAAAGGGGAAGCTGGCTATTGGAAACGGTCTCTGTCTGCTCCAGTCTGAGCTGGGCTGGGAACTATTTTGGAAGGTGCTAAGTGGCCCATGAGGCCTGTGGCAGTCCAGTGTTACAGGCCATCAAGTCCCAGCACCTGGGAACATCCCCAGCAATGTTTCATTTCCTAAGAAAGACATGTGCTAGCTTACCTGGCTCCTGGGGAGGTAAATACGTTGATTAACCTATCCTACTGGTAAGGAGACAGAGATAGGAAAGACAGACATTTTGGCATCAGCAGCAGGGCTGGGAACAGGGCATCCATGTGCAGCATGACCTAGTGTGAGTGTTCAGTGGGACTTCAGCCTGGGAGACCTGTGTGAGGACATGTCTTCTACTCTGATCTGGGGCTGTGTTGAGCTTCTTTCCACCTGGGAGAGCTGCTGACCCCTCCATGTGCCCACCCATCCTCTGGTCCCTCTTCACCCCAGGCTGTCCAGGATGAGGGTGGGAGTTCTGCTCCCCTTTCCCTGCTGCTGTTCCAGTTTCAAGGGGTGGGTAAGCAGGAGGCAGCCTGGGGTGCTCAGCCTTGTGCGGCTGCTGAGTGCTTCAAAGTTATGAGCGTGACTTTAGCTCACGTCGTTGTTAGATCTGCCAGGGGCTTGGTGCATCATGGCACCCAGCAGGTCCCCTTGCTAGGCAGCTCCACCTGCTGCCTTGGAAGTCCCTGTCCCCTGTGTGATGGGGGGTGGTCAGGGGCTGCTCAGTGTGGACAGGTAGCTCCCCAGCAGCCACTCCTGGGATGGTGACATCAGACCTGAAGGGACCCTGCCGCTTGTTTTCTTCTCCAGAAGCAGCACTGGATGGAGAGGCCCAGGGCTTGACGTACCCCGCTGTTGGCTCACACATGAGCTGCATCTTTGCCCAAGCATTGGCAATGGCATGTGCAGCAGGACAAATGCAGCTGGGGGCTGCCACTCTCTTGAGCACCGTCCCTCCATGCTGTAAACATGCCATGCTCGTTCAACCTCCCGGGTTTCATTCTGAATTCTTTGTAAGGCAGTGAAAACCACATGGTGTTCAAGCCATGCCAATATCAACTAAAGGCTTAAAGCAGAACCAGACATGCTCAGGACTGGGTCCTGTGCAGCAAAGCCCCCATAGCTATTTTCTCGCTGCTGATGCTCTTGCTTACCTGGGGTCCCATGCTCTGTGAGGTCCTACTCACTGGGCTTTCATCAGGAAATAGTCGTGGTCCTTCTCTGCCCTCTAGTACTACCTGCTTGTTGCTCCCCTGAAGTGCTCATTTCCAGTCCTGGAGGTCCTCCCTGTGTCTGTCTCTGCCTATCCTCTCATCCAGGAGGTCATGGAAGGAAGGGATTTTCTTGTCCAGGTACTCCCTCTGGCCCTGCCTCGGAGGGCAGCCCTGTCAGGTTGCTTCCCTCTGCGTGTGCTGGGCTGTCCTCCCTCGAGGAGCATTGCCCTGGTGCTAGCATCTCCCCTCACCTGGGGTTGGCAGCTCATGTCTGGAGTTGGCAGTGACACAGAGTGACTCTGTTAATGAGAGGTTTGTGCTGAACCCAGCAGGGGCTTCATGCCTTCAAGAATGATCTTGTCTGCTCAGGCTTGGGCCCCTCTCTGTTTTAGCCTCATACCTTTCTGCCCACAACCTCTGGCTCACTGTTGGCACTGAAAGCAGCTAGCAGGATGCTCCCTCCAGCATGCATGTGAGAGATGTAGATAAAACTTGAGTTTTAATCCCTTGAAGAACTAATAGTGTGATTCAAGGCCAAAACAGCTTCTCTGGAGAAGGTAGTTATTTTGCCTGCAAGAAACAACCTCTGATTAGGTGAGCAAATTGAGATGGGAAAGGGCAAGGGCTTTGCTCTTTGAACAGGCCGGCTCAATATGACTTTCAAGGTGTGTTTCAGCTGCGCCAAGGGAAGAATGGGAGCTGTGACAGTCTAAACAAAGATGCTTATGCTGCTGCTTGGAGCAGGATCCCTCAGCAGGCCTTGATTACCAAAAGACCTGCTCCAGCTAAATGGTTTTCTCTCTTTACTGGCCTGGACATCTTTAAAAAGTTTAAGGCTTTTTGTGGGCTCTTACGCAGTAAGTAAAAGAAAGCTTGCTTTCCTTGGGTACTTTCTGGGGATGTCTTAAAGAAGAGACCCATAGATCTCTTAGGATCGACAGACAAAAAGCTGGAATCAGTGCAGTAGCGCAGCCAGAGCAGATGTGAGTGGATGCAAGAACTATTTTGGCTTGTTCTGTTTGCAGGAAGTCACACCAAGGGAACTTAAGTGTTTTCTCCCTATAAAAATCCACCCAGGTTAATAAAATGTTGATCCTGAAGGGCTGGATTACGCTTTAGAAGTGATGTGGCTTCTCAGACCACTTCCCCTTCCCATGTGGAGCAATTGTATCTCTACATGCAGCTTCATTCACGAGCACCAGAACAATCCTTGGCACACCATCTACCCACCGTCTTTGGCTCTCCTGAAACGTGAGCCCCACAGCTTGTGCTCTGGCACTTCTGGAGTCTCATCTCATGCCGTGTGGATGCAGGAGTCACAAGGATGCCGGTTGGGAGCAGGATCATCTTCTGACCCTGCTGTGTTCATGTTAAAGTCAATCAAGAAGACAAATGTGCATGTTTCCGTGGTTCCTGTAAATTCTGTCAGCAGCTCTGACTGCCTTGTCCAGCATTAGAAATAAACCATACTCCCCACTTCATTTCCAGAGGCTTTCCAGAGCTTTCAGGCTGCCTATTTCTAACTTTTTATCTTTCGATGACTATGCTCTCCCGTCTACCTAGACATGGAAAAGTTCCGTATTCTCAAAACGTACCCTCCGTAATGAGTAAATACGCTTGGAGAGCAACCTGCAACTTGTTACTCCTTCTCATTATAGATGTGTAAATATGAGATGTGACCGAAGGAAGCAGGATTAGCTGCCTGCTTGGGCACTGCATAGCACATCTTGGAGGCACAGCACTGTCTCCGATAGCTGTATGCTGCCAGCGGTCACTACCTGAAAACACATAATAAGGGAGAGATGGACAGGATGACATTTATGTAAAGGCACTCAAAAAGTTGTTGCAGCAAAGTGCTGGGGTTAAAAACCATGGAAATGGTTTGAGCATCCTGGAATTAGTGTAGCACTGTGCATGTCAGGTGGACACAAATTTCATAGCACTGGAGTCCCCAGCCCCTGGGGTGGCTATGCCAGAGGCAGACAAGTGCAGGATGGGGTGCTCGCAAAGGGAGAGCCAGCTGGGGAGCGGCCGGTGCGTCTCCTGGCGTGCCGTCCCTCCCAGGGTAGGGCTGAGCAATGAACAGCAACAGGCGGCAGCAGTTAGGTGGAGAATGGAGCGTTGTCTTCGGCCGAAGCAGCTCGGGACATTTGCGGAGGCGAGACGCTATGACCAAAGTTGGAATCGGGCCTGATTTACACCCCAATACCGTGAAGTGTTGTGAGATCTTTAATGATCGCAGGCTGACGGCCTCCAACTGCTCTCATGAGGAAGGTGGTTCCTCTGAGCACGGTGCCAAGAACCCAACATAATGCCCATTCGAAAGGGAGATACTCCCTGAGGGATCTCTCACGCTGCAGCATTCACATAGTCCTTGGGGGTTTCTTTTCCAAGCACTTAAACAACTCAGCCCTTGTCCCATTGGTTTTGATCTCAGCTGCTGGTCCATCTGGAAGGAAATATCAAATGCTGCAGGAAATAATTTTACGGGTGACTCAGAGGTGCTGGCTGCAGAGAGACCTCAGCTTCCCCTTTTCCTAACCACGCCGCTTTGTCTCTCTGCTTAGGCCAAATGTCTGCGGCAGGCAGTGTTGCCCAGGATGGACCACGGCTCCTGGCACAAACCACTGCATCAAACGTGAGTATGACGGCCTCAGTCGGTGCAGGTGTCACAACGCACCCTTAAAAAGCTCTCGAGTACTGCTGTGACCCCGCACGCATCCCCTGTGCCGTGCCGGGGCGGGAGGTGGATCGTGGGGTCCATGGAGCGGTCCACGGAGGCAGCTGCAGCCTCCTCGTGGGGCTGATGGGCTGTGGGTCAGCTCTCCCCACCTGCTGGCAAAGTCTGAGCATGCCGAATAGTTATGGCTTTACTTTATTATCATTATTAGTGTCCACCCCAGGCAGGGTCTTGCAGGGGCAGGGCATCGCAACAGCACGTTGAAGGGCAAGTTTGAAGCCCTGGGCTCTCATCATCCTGCCTGGAACGAAAGGCAGGTCTGTGAAAGTCCCAGCAGGTGGGAACCAGCTGTGCTCACGTGGGTGAGCGTTGCTGATGCTGAGGGGGAAATCAGGGCTGCAAATTAACTGAGTGCTATTAAGGAAAGCAATTAATGGAGTTGGCACAACGGCTGGGGTGGGTGGGGCCAGAGCATGGTGCAGCATGTGGGATGTGTGAAATGTGGGGGGCCTGCAGGACGCTCCTGCAGCACAGAAACTGCCCCCACAGCGGGGTGAATAAGGGCTCTGCTCCCCCTGACAGCCCTGTGACAGCCCTGGGCGCTGAGATCATTTTGGGCTCCCTGACACAGCACTGGAAGGGAAGGAGTTTGGGCAGGCACCAGCTCGACGCATGCCAGAGGCAGCTGCACTGTCGTCTCCATCAGCTCCACAACCACGGCCCAGCCCCTGCCGTGATCCCTGTCCCTGAACGCCCACAGGCCCCCGGCAGGCTTGCTGGATGGGAACGCCCTGCCCAGAATAGCCGAGACCATCTGCCTGCGCTCGAGTGGCAGCAGCTGCCCAGATGTTTAGCCGGGAAAGAGGCTCGGCTTTGTTTGCCGCGGGATCTCACGGCGCTTCGGCCGCACTGGGATAATTGCATTAGCGATCGCTGTTCGGGAGCGAGGGGCCAAGGGCTGACTCACCTCCCCTGTCCCTCTCCCCCCGCCGACAGAAGCCAAACGGTAGAGAGCGTGCTGTGCTGCCAGACAGCGTCTGTAAACAGAGCGTGGGGCCAGCCATGGCAGCATCTTTCTCTCATTAGGGGTTTGCGTCGGAGCAGCAGAGCTGGGCTCGCAGCCACACAGGCTGTCTAGTGGTCACTCAGGTGCTGGGCCCTTGTCCCAGCATCCCCTCGGCTGGGGATGGTGAATCTCAGGCAGGACTTAGGTGAAGACTGGTGATGTGTAAACATCGTTTCGTTCCCAGCTACCTCCCTCGCTGGGCTTTTCTGCTGGAGTTCAAGCTGCTGTAGACATTTTTCTGTATTTAAAGCTGCCAGGGCAAGCTGGACAGCCCATCCCAGTTAGTTTCTGCACCATAACACTGTTTGACGTGTGATCCCATGGACTTCGATATGGGGCGTGCCAGGGAAGTTAGTGGGGTAGAAATGCAGCCAGAGGGAACCTCTTAGCGTGATGAAGCAGGGAAGAAGTTGGCATTCGGGTATTGGGCAGGACCTTGGTTTTCGTGGATCTGAGCCTGGGTACAGAAGAGAGGATAGGCCAAATTGTTGCCATAACCTACTTCGTATCACCTTCTGAGCATGGCGATTTCTTCCTTCTCCACCCATGATTTTCTGAGAACTTTCCTCTTGCAACATTTCTGCATATGACTGAACTCAAGCCATGGACAGGTTTCTCTAGCCTATTGGTTTGTTCCAGTTTTGAGGACCAAAGTGCAGTGAGGACTCGGTGAGTTTTCAGAGAGTCAATGACTGGGAAGATGAAAAAGAGAAATCTCTCCCTTCGGGACACTGACGTTTCCTGCAAAAGTGGAAGTAGGCTAAGGGAGTTTAGGAGCAAGATCTCGCCCGCTTCAAAAGGGCTTGGTTTCCAGCCACATGCAGCCAGGTCACCACACCAGTCTGCATACAGGGCATCCTGTGGGGCTCCAGAGGTCTTCCCATGGGGGAGACATTAGGGATAAATGGATGTGTTGGAGCAGGTCCAGAGGAGAGCCACAAAGATGATCAGAGAACTGGAGTACCTCTCCTACGAGGACAGGCTGAGGGAGTTGGGGCTGTTCAGCCTGGAGAAGAGAAGGCTCCGGGGTGACCTTATAGCAGCTTTCCAGTACCTGAAGGGGGCCTACAGGAAGGGTGGAAAGGGACTTTTCACAAGGGTGTGTAGTGATAGGACAAGGGGGAATGGCTGTAAACTAAAAGAGGGCAGATTAGATATAAGGAAGAAATTCTTCACCATGAGGATGGTGAGGCACTGGAACAGGTTTCCCAGAGAAGCTGTGGCTGCCCCCTCCCTGGAAGTGTTCAAGACCAGGCTGGATGGAGCTCTGAGCAACCTGGTCTAGTGGAAGATGTCCCTGCTCATGGGAGGGGGGTTGGAACCAGATGATCTTTAAGGTCCCTTCCAACCCTTACACTTCTGTGATTCTATGATTCTGTAATGAGCTACATCTGAACTTGGGCCTGAGGAGTTCCCCCAACCTCCTGCCTGTTTACCTTCATCCTGGGGTGAGACTCAGACCGTTATGTACTGGGTTTGGTGGAGAAGAAACCCATACACACAAGCTGGCCAGAAGCGCCCTTGCACTGCCCGTATTTCAGGGGCAGCAGTGTGCACTTGTCAATAGCTTAGCTGCTGCCTGTTAGCTCATCATCCTTCCCCTCTGCTTAAGAGCAAGGGAATCCTCTTGCTCAGCCTCCCAATGTTAGTTCATCAACCTCCACTTTCATCAGTATTATTTACTATGGTTCTCTGCCGATTCCCAAGATAGCAGCCGGGGCTGGGCTGGTAATGCAGGATGAGCTTTTTTCTGGCGTGGATATTTTAAAGTTTAAAAGAAACATTTTTAATCAGCATGTTGAGAAGGACCAAATAAATTCATGAACTTTCTAATCTCGTACAGATGGTCTTGAGGTTAAGATACTGGATGAAGACACAGGGATTCCAAGATGAGTCGCTAGCTCTGCTTTGGTCTCACAGTGTGTCTTCAGACAGTTGCATTAGCACCTGGGGCTTTTCCACATCTGCAAACTGGAGATGACATTCACATGCTCTCTCCTTTTGTCTCTCTTCTGTGCAGTGGCTGGAGGGGGTTTTTTGAGCCCAGAGTGTTTTTCATTGACGTTCTGTTTTCCCTCTCTGTTATTCCTGCTTGGCTGTTGATCTACCTGCCTGTCAGCCTGGACAAATATCTCAATTGTGTTAAATTGTCCATCCCTTCTGGTTTTGCTAACACAGTCAGAGCTTTAGGTTAGAAATGAGATTACACGCTGCTTTGCATCAATAAGCAAACTTTTCCATGAGAAAGTGGATTAAAGCACCAGAGTGGTACGAGTCCTTCAGCACCTTCCCAGTTTTCCTGTGGATGCCTAGCTGGATGGGCAGGTTCTCCCACATTTAAATGGGACTGAGCAGGAGAGCAGCTCAGAGAGCTTACAGTAAAGACTTAATCCACTCTCCTAGACCTAGGGCACACGCAGAGCAGCAGGGACACAGTAATTAATTGCAATGTCATTGCTCAGTCATGGGCTGGGCATGCCTGCAAAGCGATGGGAGGTTGGATTTGGTGGCCTTCCCCTCTGATGGTCCTGCCTGCCTGGCCTAAGTGGGTGGTCAGAGTCACGTCGCAGTCATCCATGCAGTGTGACCTTGCAGGGAGCACTTACTTCATGCACTGAAGACCAGACAGCACCAGACTTGCTCTGCAAGACCACTGCTAGATGCTCGTGAACAGATTAGCATAGCAGCAGTGCCCCAAATCTCACCCTTTTATTAAGAGGTTTGAGATAACTTTTTTTGCTTTCCTTAAAGCCCCGGCTCCTGCAGCAGGTGATTACATGAGACTACAGTGAGAAGAAATGAGTGGCTGTCATCTTGACAGAAAGTGTTTATAGCCCTGTAGCTGGGGAGAGCCATCTCAGAAACAAGAAAGCAAAGAGAAAGATTCCACATATATATATATGCACATATATATATGTGTATATATATGTATTTAACCGTCTTGTTTCTTCTGTCAGTGTTACAGTTTTGGGAGCCTGACCTGTGATTTTCACACGCTTGGAATTGGCAGTACTTCTGCTGAATGATCTGCTCTCCCTACATCCCATATAGGTGGACTGAGTGAAAACCAGTGACTTTTTAAAGCTTTCAAGTTCCTCCTGAGTCTGAAAAGGAAACCAGGAAGGGGATTAATCCTAGAGCTGGAGTATTTCAGCTAGGGCAGCTCCCCACCCATCCTGCATGAAGGGGCCAGAAGACTGATCCCATTCCGTTCTTCCTCTACTCTGTATCAGCTGCCCTAGGGACTTCTTGGAGTGCCTGGCCGCTTATCGCTGCTTTCTTGCTGAAGGGCACAGTCTCACGTGACTGTGAACATTGTTAGTGGGAGAGGTTGTGAGAATGGCTGTGATCCCAGGTCCCGGCGTCGCGGCTCTGCAGTATTTCAGCACGTGAAGTGGTTGTTTTCAATGGCAGGCTTCCTGCTTTGGTGGCATTAGTGAAAACAGGCGTTTACGGAGAGATAAGGGTAGGGACTTGCAGCCTATTTAAATCACAGCTGAAGTATTATAAATAACATTTTGGAGTGCCAGACTTCCCAGAGATAGGTAATGCCTGCCTGACTAGGGCGCTGTCTCTGTTTCAGAGTCTGCAGTGGTGGCTGGTTAATTTTACGGGGGGATTTCATCAAAACCTCTGGCTTTTAAACCATACAGCCCAGCGTGACTTGGGTTCTCCCATTACTTGAGATCTCCCTCTCTTCCTGAGCATTGACATGGTAATAAAGGTCAAATGAAGGTTTCCAGCCAGCGTAGGAAAAGCAGTCCAGTTCTGGGGTGAGGGAAGGGTTGTGGGGCTATACTGCTGTGAAGGCACCTTGGTGCCTCCACAAGGACTTCCCCCACTTGGCAACAGCAGGATGGTGTGTGGATGGCCCATGGGGCTAGAGCAGTCTGTGTGTTTGCTGCTCAGAAGCACTGTTTCTTGCAGGTGTGTTAGGATCTATTGGTGATGAAGAGCACAGCCAGAGAGGGAGGGATATGCTTGTGAATGCCCAGCGGCTGCATGCAAAGGTGGTGGGATGTCAGGTGCTCCTGCAGCCTCCCTGGGACAGTCCTGGGGAAGGGGCCCTCAGCAGAAGCGGTGGCTGCGTGTGTCAACCCCTCCACAGGGTTCCCATGCAGCTGGGGGTTTGTGTTAATGTGTAATCACCTTTGTCCGGCAAGGCTTCCGTGCCCTTTGGCCAGCCGGCCCTTTCCCTCTTTGAGGGAAGACACTGTTTTCCAGTGCCTTTGCAATTACTCTTGATCAGAACAACGAGCTCGGTCCTCCTTGAGTGAGCTGGGTTTTCCTGGCTCTCGCTGGCTGGGCTATAAACCCGATTTGGCATCTGTTGACTTGGGAAGTGTTAGGGTCTGGCATATAATTAATAGCACTATCCTCCTGGGGTGAAAACTGAAGCTGATGTGCTGTAATTAGGAACACACACAGGCTTGGAGGGTGATTTGGGCATGAAGTTAATGAACTGTAAGTCCCCGTAGCTGCAGAGGAATTTGAGCACAGTGACTCCAAAATCAGCTGCAGAGGGAGAGCTGGAAAGCTCTGGAGGGGGCAGCCGGGGAAGCAGTGCAAGTCAGACCCCAAAATGGGCTAAAGCAGGAAGGTAACATGCAAACTACTCCCAAGAGGCTGCGATAGTGCATGGTCGTCTGTCTTCTCGTCTGATGGTCGTTGCCTTCCCTTCCTCTGGGACCGAGGTCCTACTCCTGCTTGGAGAGCTATGAGCAGTGCTGGAGGGTGTATGTTCTTTGCAGACCGTGCTGCTCATTTTTGAGCTTTCTGAAGTGAGCGTTGCTGGAGAAGAGCTCTGCAGAGACCAGTGCGGAGAAGCGGAAACCAGTCTCTGATGGCAGCAACCTTGTGTTAGGGACCCACAGCAGCAGTAACACTGAGACTTTAAATGCCACCTGCCTGCAGGGGAGAGTTGGGGCCACCCCGGTTGTGCTGCCCCAGCTGTGTGCCACCACGGTGGAGCTGAGCACGCTGCCGGGAGGCCCGTGTCCACTAACCGCCTTTCTGTGTCTCCCCAGCTGTCTGCAACCCGCCGTGCCAGAATAAGGGCTCCTGCAGCCGCCCCCACGTCTGTACCTGTCGCTCGGGCTTCCAGGGCTCGCGGTGTGAAGAAGTCGTTCCTGAGCAGGAGTACCACCCGCCTGGTGCCGCCGCCGCCTTCCAGCCCCCTGCAAGCTCCCTCCGGAGGAGGACCAGCATGGCAGGACAGGATGCCTTCCCGCGAGGGGCTCAGGCACCCGTCCTGCGGCACACCCTGGCTGTGTAAGTCAAACCTGGTTCCTGGCGGGACGGTCCCCCAAACCCACAGGCAGCTAATGGCGTGCTGGGTCAGGCCACAGCTTCTGCTTCATGAGAGCGGGCACCTTGGCTCCCAGTAGAGGCTCCTTCCCAGCATGTGGGAGCTGATGGAAGGGTCGGGCCCTGCTGTCCCTCCAATGGACTTGGTTTGTCCCCAGCACTGTGTCGTGGTCCCCAAGCACACGCAGGAGTGGAACACACTAGTGGTGGTCCCACAGGGAAGGAGTACCATGAAGCTCCGCAGTTTGCCCTTGTCCAGTTGGTGAGCAGCCTTTGCAATAGCAGCAGGGTGGATGGAGGAGTGGGGGTTAAATCTCTTTCCCAAGAGGCTGTGTTTAGGGCAGTGTGTCCGGGTGGTTCCCACCGGAGGTGTATAGAGCTGAGGAGTGCTGTTAAAAGCCAGTATGTGTGAAGTGATGGTACTCGGAGGTGTCTCCCGGCAGACTCTAGCTGTTATTGAGCCAGCTATGCTGTATTTTTGTGTCACCCTGCCGTGGTGTGGGTCATTTTGGTACCCAGGAAGGAGCCTGCATATTGGGTGCAAAAGCAAAGATGCAGCTGTTGGAGCTCACAGAAGTCTGTGCAAGAGGGACTCTGTGAGGAGCGTGTTAAGCACAGGGTGACAACTGTGGCATCATCTGGTCCTTTTGAGTGAGAAAGAGCTTATGGCTTCAGCCTACCATCCTCAGGTCAGTTCTGAGGTGCTTTCATACCCGAGCTGCAACTCCTCCACACTTTGTGTTTTGTGAAGTCTGGCTGGAGCTGTGGGTTTTCTCCTGAAGGAGGCAGTAGAGGTGAGAAAGGTGTCTTTCCCTGACAAGCACCACTGCTGAGCTGGCAGCTTCGTGGGGATGGAGAGGTGGGAACGGTGCCTGCTGCTATACAACCACCCACATGTGTTGGTTTTTTTTCTTTTTTAAAAAATCACCTCTGCTTTTCTGTAAGAGTCCATGGGCACGGGACCAAAATGCAAGGCTGCACCACCCCTAAAGACCCATGTCATTCGTGCTGCTACTCACTCAGTTGCTGGGCCGGAAGGACTGGTTTTGTTGGTAGCCACCACAGGAGATAATTTGCTCGTGGCTTCCAGCAGAAGTCCCTCCGTCATAGTCAAGAAGACATTACAGCAAATTACAGGTGCCTAACTGGGAGGTAACTTCAGTGTCTCCTTTTCTTCTCTGAGGTGTTTTGACTTTCTCTGTCAGAATCAGTTAGAACTGCCCAAGGAGAGGGGAATTTGGCCTTTGTTCTACTGTATTTCTGCAGGTTGTTTTTAAAGTGTTTGTTGCACTTAAAGTAGCTGTTGTTGCCTTTCTGTCCCTTTTGAATCAGAGGCAACACATGGGCTGGAGACATTTCTAGACACTTACTCTTGGCCATCTGCAGTTTTGGAGGGGCTCAAATGACTGACGAGGAATTGGCTGACATGAAGTTGTTCACTGAAGCTGGCATATCTTGGTGCCCAAATGAAAGACTATCTGATGGGAACCAAATTCAGGCAAGGCAGAGGTGATGCTGGCAGGGAGAGGTGGCCAAGCCCCTGTCATCGCTGCCCCGAGAGTGGCTCGGTGTCCGAGCCAGCACACAGCCCTCGCACGTGCCTGCAATCCTGGTCATTGCTGACGAGTTTCCCTGCAGCGATGACCTCCTCCTTCCCCTCTGTGCCACCGCTCTGTGTGCAAGCACTGGAGAGGAGGGAGAGCGGTGCCCTTGGAGATACAGCACCTGTTGAAGGCTTTCCCAGTAAGGAACATGACCTCAGGCTCTGTGCAGAGGACAGGGGCTGTGCAGGCACTGGCAGAGCATTCCTGTCCCGGCAGTCAGACACAGCGTCTAGCGATCGCTGAGCTGGGATTGCTGAATGCCCAGCTGCCTGCCATACCTTAAATCCTCTGGCACTCTCCCAAGAAAACAGGACTCCATTAGGGACCGTGCCATGCCTTTGCTCCTTCCCTCCCTGCAGAGGCCATAGGACATCGCCTTATCCAACAGGATTCAGCAAGAGCATTTGGCATTCGTGCTTTGTGATGGCTGCATGTAGCACTCCTGGACACGGCCACCACTGGCTGCGTGCTGGAGCCATCCTCAGGGTTGTGCCTTGCCTACCCAGGCAATGCGTAGCCGTGCTGTGCAGGCAGACGTGGGCTGGTGCTGATCTGCATTGAGACACCTCACTTCAGTCCCTGGGCGTTTCCCCATGAATTCAGTTGCTTGGATTTTGTCTGTGGACCACATAACATACAGCATACAACTGGCATGACCTAGAAGTCTTGCTGCTGTTAGATGGGTTGTTTTACAAGTATTTTTTGGTGTCCCCTTCTGCCTACCAACTTCTGGGCTAGCTGTGGAGCACTGTAAGTGTCAGTGTTTGCAGCCGAAGGCTTGCCCCTGCTGGCGTTGCACCCAGCCGTGCTCTCCCACTGCTTCCCTTGCACGGGCGTTGGTGCTCATATGCCCCTGGGTGAGTTGACTCAGTTCAATAAACCAGCAAATAACTAACACAGCAAAATTAAGGATAGTTTTCTACGGAATATTTCTAATTATCTAAGGATAATTTTAGCCACTTCAGTGGACTAAATTGACTTACTGAAAGATTACATGAGGACGAGAAGTATTGGATGGAATTGCAAGGCTAGCATTTGGGGGATGAAAGAGGTGGACTCCCCTTTTGTGGGAAGCCACTTATTAGGTTGGTCATTTGTCTCATGAAACTGTGCTTTCAGACTTGTCTGAACTTGGAGACTGCTCCTTGTGGTTACATTATCTACTTCTGTGCTACCAATAAAGTACTTTCTGTGCTTCTGTGTCAGGCTTTCTCCCTATGGTTGGGCCATAGCAACAAAAGCAAGAAGCATATTGGCCTTCGCAGAACTATGTAGATCTTACTCAGATTTGCAAGTCCGAGGATCAGTTCTTAGGCACTGCAAACTCAGGGTCGCCTTCACTGAAGTTCAGTTCACTGTCAAGTCTAAGAGGAACAGTTTGGGTTTTCCAGTCCTTGGTCTCCTGCTGGATAAGGATGGGTTGTACTGGTAGGACACTGACTTTTTGTAGTGAGCCTGCCATGATCCCACAGCAGCTGGCTTGCTTGGCTGATTTATCATTAAGGAAGTGGTGGAAGAAGCTCTTGGGTGGCTCAGTGGACAAAGGACACTGGTGGTTCCAGGTCAGTGGTTGTGAGAAGACTATGAGATCCAGGACAAACGACCAGTCCCCAACCTCCCTGCATGTTCTCATTGCTAACAAGGAGGACTTGCACAAGAGTAGGAGCTTGTAGACCTCTGAGCCTCATCTTGCTGTGCCAAGACAGGAAATCAATCCTCACATGAGTGAATTTGCTTTCTCCTTTAGTTTATTTGTGTGTATATTGGCTTCATTTGTGTTTGTTTGTACGGAGGTAGTAATCAGAAGCTCTGAAGTCATGCACTAAAACAATGCTGTATTAGATGCCGTATAAACATGCAACAAAACCCATGAATCCTCCCCGGAGACCTGCTTGCTAAGCAGAGATGGGGTTGGTTTTGGTTTCAGTGTGTTCTGAAATGTGTTTTCAGAGAGAGTTAGAAAAACAGCCTCCTGGGTTCTTCAGGAACTGCCTGGGCTGAAATGTTCCCTGCTTGCCTGAGTGGTGGGGCTCCTTTAAAATGATTTCCGAATCTCAACTAGTTGGACTTACTGCTTATGATGACTGGCACTTCACTGTGGAGGGTAGGCTGGTCTGGAGGTAGGAAGTCTTTGGGAGTCTGGAGTAGCTGTTAAAGCCTTCGTGAAAAGCATGACAAGGCACCTGCCTGTTTTCATGGCCCTGTTTCTGGCCAATGTGCTCAGGCTCTCCAGGTTCCTGCCTGGAAGCAGAAGCAGCGATGCCTGCTGTGGCTTCCCTGCCAGGAGAGCCCACAAAGCCCAACTGTGACAGCAGGAGATAAGTTACTGTCAGTGTTCTGCCCTCAGGCTTGGTGAGAAGTAGCAGCTCCTTCACCAGCAGTGTTGTACTGGTCATACACAACTGGTGGTACAGATTGGTTTGTATTTGTTCGCAAATGGATCTGTGGGCATTGCCAGTGTAGCTGTCATAGATCCATATCTGGGTGTGCTGGCAGTCCTGGGAAGAACGGGATGTGGACATCATCCTGAGTGTTGTGCGGAGCACAGGTGTCAGTGCTGCCATGTTACATGTAGCCATGGGTGCCTCTGTTTGGAGGAGTGCTGGGGAAGACTCACTGTGTCCTTGGCTTGCCCATACCGTGCAAGTTACTTCTTCCTGGGACTGTAGAAGATGACGTACCCAGCCTTATCTGAGCTCAGCACTTGCCCAGGGAAAGACAGGGCTAAGCGAAGGGCAGCTCTGTGTTTACTTTGCTGACACCAGAGCTGGTGATACTCAAGCTTTCATCCCTTAAAATAGAGGCTGAGCAATGAGTACCACTTCCCAAGTGCCCCCAGCAGGCTGTGGCTCAGTAGAGGTTTAGAGCCGGGCGTCTGAGGGAGCTTGCGGGGACTTGTTCGCTGCTGCAGAAGCTGGGCGGCCCTGGCACTGTGCTGCTTGGAACACGGAGTGCTCTGGAGAGCAAAATCCTGGGGGTGTTAGAGGCCCTCGCAGCATGGACTAGCTGCAAATCCTCCCTCTTCTTGATCTCAGCCTGAATCTCTGCCCGGAGAAGCAAAGCCTCGACGGATGATTGTGCGGGTGGAGCCGCACCTCAGCCCAGAAGCCGAGCTAAATGGAAACAGCTTTGTTTTCCTAAGTCTGGAGTATCAGCTGAATTCCTGTTTATTTAGCAGGGAGTGGAAAGGGCTTGCGCCCCTGCCCCTTGCTGTCAAGATGGATGGCCAGTTGCCTCTGACTCCGGGCAGCGTGCAAGGAGGGTCCTGCCACTGCCACTTGAGAAGGTCCCTGCTGTGGGAGTGCCGGCCATAAGTCTGTAACCAGCATCTACCCGAGGGAGCTTTGCTGCTCAGATGGG